AGAGAGAGAGAGAGAGAGAGAGAAATTTCATTAAATTAGAGCATTTACCAACCGAGTAATGCTGTAAATTCCAGTTGAACAACAACTTGGATTACAATTAAAGCGTAAATGCATTATTTTTTAATTTTTTGATAATGCATTTACACTTGGATTGTAACTCAAATTATCATCTAATTGGCTAAACAACATTACTCTTACTTATTAGTTATTACATATAACCAGCTTAATAATTATTTTTAAGAAAGTTAGGTTAAAATTTGAGAGATATTGCATTTATGCATATATTTATGTCAAAATATAAATTTGTTACCCTCAAATTTTAACTTAACTTTAAGTTAAAAAGTTAAAGTATATTTGTTAAATATAAAAATGTATTGTAATATTGAATCAAAACATAATAACATTTTATTGTAGGAAAATTAGATCTGAAAGTATCTGTACATTGTGAGGAAAGATTGAGAGATAGAGAGAGAAAGCTGCGGATGTGTTGTGTGGGAGATGAAAAAATAAAATGTGAATGTGTACAGTGAACCCTGACTACATGCTATTTATATGAAGAGCTAATGACCTAAAAGTGCTAAGAGAAGGAAAAAGTGCTAAAACATAAAATACACTTTATATTCTAATAAAATGTTATATATTTGCAGGGTCGGCCCTGGCCCAGGGCGACCTGGGCGACAGCCCAGGGCCCGGGACAGGGCCTAATTTGAAGGGGCACTATTCAAAGGGGCCTTTGTTTTGTCTAATTAATAGTACAAATAATAAGGAATTGAGAATTTTGGAGGATGTGTATTTTATGTGAGTGTGTTATGGATAAGAAATTGATTCGAAAAATAAGAAATAATTAGAGTAGATGTGGTCTGTACTTTTGAGAAGAAAGAAGGAAGAAGGAAGAAGATAGAGAAAAGAAAAACACAAAAAAGTTTGAGGAGAAAATGAGAGAGAAAAAGTGAGAGTAAAAAGAGAAAAGTAAAAGGAAAAGTAAATGAAAAAATATCTTTCTAAAAATAATGCTTGTTTCAATCCGCATGATTAAGGAAGGAAAAAAAAAGAGGGTAAATATGGAATAATTAAAATGCTATTGCAATAGATCGGTTTTCAACAAATATCAATTGCAAAAAATATTAAATGCACAAAACTTTCTTAATTCTATATTACAACCTATCAACCCATCTATCCCTATTAGATTCTTTTTTTTTTTGTTTTTTTTTTTTGTTGTGTATCTTTGTAGTTTATGCATTAAAAATCATAGTAATGCTCTCCTACCCACGGTGGGCACATGTTAATATGTCCACCGCTTATGTGGCATGCACACATTGGTGATGTTAATATGCTCAAAAAAATACATCACCAATGTGTGCATGTCACATACGCGGTGGACATATTAACATGTGCCCACCGTGGGTAGGGGAGCATTACTCTTAAAAATCATAATAATTATTTATTTTAAAGAATTTACAACTCATTGAATAAAAATCATTTAATTAAGCAACAAAGTGTAAAATAATAAAAATTATAATTAAATACACTAAAATAAAAGAGAGTTAATTTTCTAAATTATAAGGATTTATATAAATATAATATTCAACTTACAAATAATTATATATTTTGTAAGTAACGGTGTTCGTACTTACTTATGATTTATGTTTATGTAAATTTTTTTATAATTTATTTATTTAGCTTATTAGCTTAATGCACTGAAATAAACAAAAAATGAGGGATAATTTTTTTTATTATTAATTAATTCAAAGTTACTCAATGTATGAGATGGTAATTGTTAAAATCACATAAATTTCATCATAATGAACGAAAAAATGAACGAAAAAGGAAGGACATTATTCTTACATTTGGCCCAGGGCCTAAGAAAGGCTAGGACCGGCTCTGTATATTTGCAAATAAAAAATTATATTAGTGAATGGGGTAATTTTTTTAAAATATAAATCAACAATTTGTTACCCTCCAGCTGCCAAAAAACCAATAATGTAAACAATATATATATATATATATATATATAAAAAATAGTGTAAAGTATTAAAATTTTGAGACATAATTTTTTCCCATACCCGAAAACATATTTCTTAAACTAGAGACCTCAAATTTGTTCATGAAGCTGGATCCATACCAGCACAAACCTATGAAAATTGCAACGAAAAATATTTGTTGGTCGAAAAGAAAAAAAA